GATAATCTTTGAATCTGCCAGCCAAAGAAAAACAGGTATTAGGTTTTGTGAGTTTTTTGGTTAGATTGTTAGAGTATTGTATGCATGGAGCCAAAATAATGGTTTTATTTTCTTTGTGAGAGAGTTTATTCCTTTGTCATGGCCATATCGTGGCTGCTACTAATCACCAGAACTAGGTGGGACATCATGACTGGATCCACGCAGGTATATCATGACTAAGGGAAATTCAGCTTGAAACGCTTTGAATACAAAGCAGATTATGATGTCAGAGTTATTATTGTATGGGATAGTAAAGATAAGAGGGCTCCTGTTGCCTCCCTGAGTTCCTTTACTTCTCCTCCCTGCTGGTTCACTTTGCTTTAGCCACACGGCCTTCCTTATTCTCAAATGCTCCAGGCATGCTTCTGACTTGGAGCCTTTGCTTTGTCTGTTCCTTTTATATCTGCTAGTTAACTGCTTCACCCCCTTCAGGTCTTTGCTTAGATTTCACCTTTATAATGAGGCTTTTTGCGATCGTTTAATACTTCAGATTATCCTTACTGTGTTACCTGGAGGCCCCTTGACTGCTTTCTAAATTTTTTCTACAATATTTATCACTTCATAATTTATATATTATGTTCATTGTTTTTTGTCTGTCTTCCTTCACTAGAATGTAAGCTCCATGAGGACAGAGATCTTTGTTTTATTCATAAATGTATCCCCGGTACCTAGAATAGTAGCGGGCAGTAGGGAAGCACTGGAAAGATACCTGTTGAATGAAAGACACTCTGATCCATCCAGTTGCTTCCAGACAGCCCTCTATTTAAACCACTTTCGTTGTCTTTCTCTTTACTACCAACTTTGAAAAATAATTTTTTTGTGTGTGTAATTTTCCCCTGGTTGATTCTTTTAACAGGGGGGGCTTCTTTAAGGGTGATAAGAGAAGCTGAAGAACTAGAGATGTGTTCAACTCTTGTGTATATGAATTTGTGTTTCTACCAAGCTTTCAGATAATTCGCTAGAGGAAATTTGTACTTTGGCCATAGGTTCATCTTTATAACAACATCATAAAGCGTAAGAGTTGAAAACATTTCCTTCACTTATTTTTAGTATGTGTACCCTCTCCCTCCATTTGTCCACACTCATAGACATTTATAATATAGCAACATTGGTATAGTATTTTATCCTGGTGCTTTTCATATTTTATTTCATTTGTCCTCACAGTAATCTCATAACGAGGTGTAGGCACTGTTGTTACTATTTTGATGATGGTGAGGAAATTGAATTGCAAATTATGTGACTTTGCCAAGGTCATATAACTGTGTTTGTTGTTTGTTTGTTTTTTTCTTGAGACAGAGTCTGGCTCTTGCCCAGGCTGGAGTTCAGTGGTGCAATCTGGCTGACTGCAGCCTCCTTTTCCCTGGTTCAAGTGATTCTCCTTCCCCAGCCTCCATAGTAGCTGGGATAGGTTTGCGCCACCATGCTTGGCTAATTTTTGGTATTTTTAGTTGAGACGGAATTTCACCATGTTGGCCAGGCTGATCTCGAACTGCTGACCTCAGGTGATCTGCCTGCCTCATCCTCCCAAAGTTCTGGGATTACAGACGTGAGCCACCAGGCCTGGCCAAGGTCATATAGCTATTAAGTGACAGAACTGGAATTTGAATACTGGCAGTCGGCTCCAGAGTCATCTTTTCGTCTTTTTTTTAAAATTGTATATATAGCATCAGCATTTAAAAATACAGTGTTCAGTGGCATTAAGTACATTTACAGTGTTGTACACTTATCACCACTGTGTAGTTCCAGGACCTCCTCCCTTCCACCACTCCTGGCAACTTCTATTAAGCTTTCTGTCTCTATGAATTTGCTTCCTCTATGTAGCTTATGTAAGTGGAATTTTATAGTAGTCATCATTTTGTGTCTGGCTTATTTTACTTATATTTTCAAAATTCATTCTTGTTTGGGATGTATCAGAATTTTCTTTTTAAGGCAGAATAATATTCCATTGTATGTTTATTGTCCTACATTTCATTTATTCATTTATCTGTTGATAAACTTGGGTTGGTTCCGTTTTGACTCTCAAGAATGTTGCTGCTGTGAACATTGGTGTGCAGGAATCTGTTTGAGTCCCTCCTTTCAGTTCTTTGAGTATATACCTAGAAGTGAAATTGCAGGATCATACGGTAATTTTATGTGTCACTTTTAACTTTTTTTTTTTTTTTTGAGACAGGGTCACTTGAGACAGGGTCAACCAGGCCAGAGTGCTGTGGTGTGATCATGGCTCACTGCAGCCTCGATCTTGATCTCCTGGGCTCAACTGATGCTCATGCCTTGGCCTGCCAGGTAGCTGGGAACTACAGGTACACCACCTGCCCGGTTAATTTTTTTTTTTTTTTTCCTGAGGTGGAGTCTCACTCTACTGCCCAGGCTGGAGTGCAGTGGCACAATCTCAGCTCACTGCAACCTTTGCCTCCTGGGTTCAAGTGATTCTTGGGCCTCAGCCTCCTGAGTAGCTGGGATTATAGGCGTGCACCACCACGCCTGGCTAGCTTTTTGTATATTTTTTTTAGAAGAGACAGGATTTCACTATGTTGCCCAGGGTGCTCTTGAACTCCTGAACTCAGGCCGTTTGCCTAGCTCTGCCTCCCAAACTCCTGGGATCCCTGCCCAACCTGCCCAACTAATTTTTAAATTTTTTGTAGAGATGAAGGCCTCACTATATTGCCCAGCATGGTTTGGAACTCCTGGGCTCAAGCGATCCTCTTGCCTTGGCCTCCCAAAGTGTTAGAATTACAGATGTGAGCCACTGTGCCTGGCTTTAACTTTTTTTATGTAGTAAGATACAGTAGTATATACTAAATCAAATAGGAGAAACTGAGTTCGAACACTGTGTCACAGTCCCCTTTATTCTCAGTGAAATTGAAAACTGCCTGTACAATCGTGTCACTTAATGATAGGGATATATTCTGAAAAACATGGGGATTTCATTATTGTGCAAACATCATAGAATGTATTTATGCAAACCCAGATGGTATGGCCTACTGCACACCTAGGCTTTGTGGCATAGCCTGTTGCTTCTAGACTACAAAAGTGTCCAGCGTGTTACTGTACTGAATACTGTAGGCAGTGTAACACAATGGTAAGTATTTGTGTATGTATCTAAACACAAAGGTTCAGTAAGAATATTGTATAATCTTATGGGAGCATTGTCATATATGCGGTCTGTCTTTGACCAAAATGTTATGCGGTGCATGACTATATTTTAGAGCCTAAGAGATGTATAATAACAGCTCCTGGATGTTAAGGAGCTTTGAAATACGTATTCTGTCGAGTGCCTGGCTTGATGTGACCATTCAGCCAAGTTAGCCAATTTGTCTCGTTTTCTACCTCAATATATTCTGTACCCCATATCAGTAAATCTACTGCAAGGTAATCTTTCCTCAGTGTTTCTTTATAATCTTCCATGTAAAACTCTTGTCCTTTTGAAAAATTATAGCCTGTTTTTCAAAACTGTCCTCTGTATTCATGGTTTGATTGATGTTTTCGTTAAGTTCTGTAAGTTACTTGGTTATTTCTAATTTCAGGATTTATGTTTATTTTGTATTATATAACATATTTATTTTCATGTCAGTTTTTTATGTTTTTATTCTTATTTCATATTGTGAGTTCCTTAAGTAGATAGTCTGTCTATATATGTGTTTAGTTTTCTCACAGTACATACTGTACAGAGTATTCATTAAATATTTTTGAATGCTTGGTTTGAAGGTAGGCATAATGTTAATTACATTTTAAACCTCTGAAAAGCATTGTTTCTATTTCTTACTCCAAATGTTGACAGGTGTCAGTTTGCTTAGATATTCATTGTGCTTAGATATTCATTGAAAGGAAATTTGAAATTTAAGCCCTGAATAATTATTCTATTTAGTAGACAAGACTTAAGAGTCAGGATGCTTGAATCTACATTTTTTTCTCTAAGCAACTTTTACTTTCTTTTCAGATTGTTGCCAGCAAAGGAGGTTTTGAAATGGTCACCAAAGAGAAGAAATGGTCTAAAGTGGGTAGTCGCTTGGGGTATCTGCCAGGAAAAGGAACTGGGTCTCTTTTGAAGTCACATTATGAAAGAATTCTCTACCCGTATGAGCTTTTCCAGTCTGGCGTGAGCCTTATGGTGAGATGCATTATTCTTTTTGGAAAAAGTTGATAAATCCAGTTTGCCCAAGTATAAACTTTAGACTTTGTTTAACCCAACTTAGCAGGCACTAAAATTTGGGGAAGCAAAGTGTTTATCATAGTGCAAAAATCATAGCTATTTTTGATGGTTTACAAGATAATAATGGAAATGAAGAATGTTTTATTTATTTAAAATAAATCTGATGACTGACATTTTTTGAAAAACTCCTGTTTCATGAATTTTTTAAAAACAGCTTTATTAGATATAATTTATATACCATAGAATTCACCCTTTGTGGGTGCATAGTCGGTAAGCTTTAATAAATTTCTACATTTATGCAACGATGACTGGGATCCAGTTTTAGAGCCCTTCCACTAGCCTCCAAAATTCTCTTGTTCATTTGTAGTTGGTTCCTGTTCCACCCCCACACACAGGCAATTCCTGACCTGCTTTCTGGCTCTATAGTTTGCCTTTTCTAGAACTTTCACCTAGGTGTAATCATACAATATGATTTTATGTCTAGCTTTTTCCACTTAGCCTAATGTTTTGAAAGTTCAGCCATGTTGGCTGAATGCGGTGGCTAATGCCTGTAATCCTAGCACTGTGGGAGGCTGAGGTGGGTGGATCGTTTGAGGCCAGGAGTTTGAGACCAGCCTGGGCATCATGGCAAAACCCCATCTCCACTGAAAATACAAAAAATCAGCCAGATGTGGTGGTATGCGCCTGTGGTCCCAGCTACTCCAGAGACTGAAGTAGGAGGATTGCTTCAGCCTGGGAAACGGAGGTTGCAGTAAGCTGAGATAGTGCTACTGCACTCCAGCCTGGGTGACAGAGTGAGACCCTGTCTCAGAAAAAAAAGTTCAGCCATGTTATAGCATATGTCTGTACTAAATTTTTATGGCTGAATAATAATCCATTGTATGGATATACCACATTTTGTTTATCCATTTACCAGTTGATGGACATTTAGATTGTTTCCAGTTTATGACTACTAGTTTATGATACTATGAATATTCATATACAAGTCTTTAAGTTGACATACGTTTTCATTTTTCTTGGGTAGATACTTGGGAGTGGAATTGCTGGGTTTTATGGTAAGTTTATGTGTAAATTTTTTTTTTTTTTTTGCGATGGAATCTCGCTCTGTCGCTCAGGCTGGAGTGCAGTGGCATGAACTTGGCTCACTGCAACCTCCGCCTCCTGGGTTCAAGCGATTCTCCTACCCCAGCCTCCTGAGTAGAGTAGCTGGGACTACAGGTGCGCGCCACCACCCACAGCTAATTTTTGTACTTTTAGTAGAGACAGAGTTTCACCATGTTGGCCAGGCTGATCTCTAACTCCTGACTGCAAGTGATCTGCCCGCCTTGGCCTCCCAAAATGCTGAGATTATAGGTGTGAGCCACCGCGCCTGGCCCGTGTAAGTTTTTCAGAACTGCCACGTTGTTTCCCAAAGTGGCTGAATCTTTTTACTTTCCCAGCAGTGATGTCGAGGCTTCTGGTTTTCCCACATCCTGGCCACACTTGGTATTGTCAGGTTTTAAAATTATAGCCGTTCTAGTTAGTTGTGTAGTCATGTCTTACTGTGGTTTGAATTTGCATTTCTCTAATGACTAGTGATGTGCCTATTTTCATATTCGTATTAGCCGTTTGTATATCTTGGTAAAGTGTTCAGATCTTTTTAAAATTGGGTTGTCTTATACTTGTGAGTTTGTTATACAGTTTGTGTACAAGTCCTTTATCAGGTAAATAATTTGCAGATATTTTCTCCTACTCTGTTATCTTTTCATTTTTGTAATGGTGACTTTTTGAAGAACCATTTTTTTTTTATTTTTTCCTTCTGTAGATTGTACTTTTGGTGTCATATTTAAGGAATCTTTTCCAAGGTCACAGAGATTTTCTTCTTTGCTTTAATCTAGAAATTTTTACAGTTTTGGCTTTTATATTTTGGTCAGTGATGCATTTTGAGGCTTTTTTTGTGTGTATAGTATGAGGTGAAGATGTAAGTTTATTTTTTGATGGGGAAGGGGGTATATGAATATTGAGTAGTACCAGCACCATTTGTTTAAAAGGCTGTCCTTTTCCCACTGATTTAACTCACCATCTTTGTTGGAAATCAGTTGACCATAAATGTGTGGGTTTATTTCTGGACTCTGTTTTTCTTGCATTGATTTATATATCGACCCTAAAACCAGTACTACATTGTCTTGAGTACTATAGCTTTATGGTAAATGTTGATATTCAGTAGTGTTAAGTTTTTTTGTTCTTTTTCAAAATTTCTAAACAACTTACATTTCCACATAAGTTTTAGGGTCAGCTTTCGGTTTTAACAACAACAAAAAGCCTGCCAGAATTTTGATAGGGATAGCTGTATGTCAGCTTGAGAGATAGTTGTGATCCAGTTTTATGTAGTTTTAGGGATTCATTGGCAATTTATTATTTTCCCGCTGATTCTCCAGCATGATTTCTTATCAGTGAACCTGTTCTCTTTCTGTGCTCTGCTCTTTTAGGGTGTGCAGATGCCTAATTTAGATCTTAAAGAAAAAGTGGAGCCTGAGGTTCTCAGCACTGATACCCAAACTTCCCCAGAGCCAGGCACAAGAATGAACACTCTGCCGAAGAGAACAAGACGTGTGAAGTCTCAGGTATCGATGTCTATGGGCCTTTCTTCCTTTTTTCTTTAAATAGGCAGTCTCGTGATGCTGCCCACGCTAGCCTTGAACTCTGGCTCGAGTGATCCTCTTGCCTCAGCCTCCTGAGCAGTGCCACTTGGTGTGCGCTGCTGTGCCTGGCTTATGGGCCATTTTTAATGGGAGTTTTAAGTGCATTAACTGTGTGGAACAGTTACCTGGTCATGGGAGGCCACTCATATACTGTCGTTCTTTAAAACTTGAGCCATATTTTTATTTACTTTTGAGATGAATGGAGAATAAATTGTGAAATGTGGTGTAATTTGATTTAGAAAGTTCTTTGTTAATTTTTAGCGG